CCCAACGCAGTTTTCGTACTGGCTCGCTGCGCACGTGCATCTCAGTGTCGACGAACGGCGCGCGCTTCTGCAGGTCGACTGCACCGTGCGCCGGCTCCACGAGCTCTTGACGTGGCTCCAGGACCACACCTCCAGCGGCATTGCGTGCCGGACATGCCGGACCCTTCTTGGCAAGTCCACCGACATCTTCAACACCCAGCGGGTAGGCTTCCATATGCTATTGGAACGACGAGCGACACGACGGCTGCACAGGCGGGCACGTTTGTCAATCCGGGCGGCCACGTGCACCAGATTCTGACCTTGTACAGCGTCGAGAGCGACCAAGTGGTGTGCGTCGGGCGACCGACGACGCGCGACACGTGGTTCCGAGGCTACTCGTGGCAGTGCATGTACTGTGGCACGTGCGACGAGTTTGTCGGCTGGCGCTACGCGTCCAAGCGCTTGACCCCGCATGTCTTTTATGGGCTCGTCCGCACCGCGATCCGGTAGCTCGCCACCGTGATACCGAATTGTGCAATGTAATAGATGTGGTCGCCATCTCCTCCTCAGCGACTGGTGGCGAACTGCAGTTTGCACCCACGTCATCGGGCGTCGCGTGACGAACGAGTTGCGCTCCGATGCGTTGTAACTGAAGGTCTAGACGCGCTAATTTTACGAGCAGCCACGTCCATTGGCGCGCTAATCTCGGACTGCTATCATTTGTAAAACACCTCGCGGGCAGTGCCTCGGAGGCATGGACAGCGACTCGGCGGACGAGAGCCACGTCGTCGGCGACTATGTCCTTGGCAAAACCATCGGCCGCGGTACTCGATTCCGTCGCAGCCAAGCAGACACGTGACGCTCGGAGCGTAGGCACGTTTGGCAAGGTCAAGGCCGGCACGCACCTCCCGACGGGCGAAAAAGTGGCCATCAAAATCCTCGAGAAATGCCGGATCCTCGAAGTGGCGGACGCCGAGCGCGTCGCGCGCGAGATCAAGATCCTCAAGCGCAACTACCACACCAACGTCATCCAGGTACGTAGGATTCGATTGGATCGAGATTCATTATGGTCGAGTAGCTCTACCAAGTGATTGACACGGCCCAGAGCATCTACTTGATCATGGAGTACATTGACGGCGGAGAGATGTTTGAGCACATCGTCAAGAACCACCGCATCCGGGAGAAGGACGCGGTGCGCATGTTTCTCCAGATCGTCGACGGCCTCGACTACCTCCACCGCAACGACGTCACGCATCGGTGCGTCGACTCTCTATTTTCGAGATCATGAACAGTTGGGGTGCAGGGACCTCAAGCCCGAAAACCTCTTGCTGCACGCGCACCCGTCGGGCTTGATTGTCAAGATTGTCGACTTTGGTCTGAGCAACACGCACGAACAGAACCGACTGCTGCGCACCGCGTGTGGGTCCCCGTGCTACGCCGCGCCCGAGATGATCGAGGGCAAAATGGTACGTCGACTGCAGTTGGTTTTAAATCGTCGAATCTTGCTAGTATGTGGGTCCGAAAGCAGACATCTGGAGTCTCGGCGTCATCCTCTTTGCGATGGTGTGTGGTTTTTTGCCGTTTGAAGACAACAACACGAGCATTCTATACAAGAAGATCCTCTCGGGACAGTACAAGACGCCCAACTACATCTCCTCCGTACGCTCTCCCAAGCCTCCTCTCTCTCACTGCACAATCACTAGCTCGTCCAAGATTTGATTCGCAAAATTCTGGAAACGGACCCGATCAAACGCTTTAGCCTCGACGACATTCGTGACCATGCGTGGTGCAAATCGGTCGAAGCACAGATGCCCAAGGTCTGCTCCATGTCTCGCATCTCCCTGACCAACGTCACTTGCGTGTTTTACATAGCCGCTCGTGCCAGTCGTCGCGGCCAATATCAACAAGATGGCGCTCATCAAGCTCGAAGAGCTCGGTATGGACAAGGAGGCCGTGACACAGTCGGTCGCGACACAAGCATACAACAGTCTCAGCGCGAGCTACTACCTCATTGCTCTGTACCATCAGCGTCCTCTGGTATTCTAATCACATCGAACCTCTGCGCGTAGGAAGCTCACGCGGCCCGTCGAGCGCACGGCCAAGCGGCGGCGGTACTCGGCCTACAACCGGAGCTCGGACCGTGCAGCTCTCGAAGACGCGCAAATGGCCGTCACGAAACCCAAGCCTGTCAAGCCTGTCTTGCCGACGATCGAGGATACCGCTGGGAAAGAGAGCGTGGTGGTGCCGGCGGCGACCGTCGACGCCAAGCCACCGACGACGACGACGAGTGAGCCGCCGAGCAGCAGTGCGCCGTTCAAGCCACCAGTGTCGCTCCGATCAGGACGCAACCTTGTCGAGGCGGCGACGCCCGTCAGCAATGGATCCGGCGTCGTGCCCGTCCCGCCGACAGAAACAAAGGAGGCGGCGCCAAAGCCGCGGACGCGCGCCACCATTTCGCTCGGCGCGGTCTTGGCCCCGATTCTTCCGGGCGCGTACGACGAGAATGGCAAGCCG